GCGTATTAAACATATTACTTGTAGTACTTGCTAGGTGAGGTAACAACCAGACACTTACCTGTTGGTCCATAAGTTGGCCCTTAGGTGAACAAGCAATAATAATAATGTATATTATAATATAAAATAAGGTATATTAAAACAAAAGACATATACTTACGGTTGGTGATTGTTATTAGTCTCAACACAAACACGTGAATAAAACTCACATTCATATAGAGGCGTTTCACTTGGATGCAGCAGGATGATTCTGAAGAGAAATTAAAACCGAAAAATATATCAAGAATTAATAATTCCACGCGATACTTGCGTAAAAAAGAAATGAGGGAAACTTGGAGGGAAATGAGAAAGCAAAAAGCGAGGGAAAACCAAATGAAACACGACCACGCCATGCTACAACCACAACATAACCTCAACAAACTCCCTCACAACAATCAACGTCAACAGTCACACACACAGTAGCGAATTGGAAGGGTTAGTGCGCACTGAGTGTGTTCGTGTCTTTTCTACCGACTTCTATAAGAAAGAGATAAAAAAACATTTTTCTGCACTGGTTCTACCAATAGAATTCGCTGAATAGCATATTCGTTTCCCCACGCGGCGATGCAATATTTATTGTTGTCCCTTACTAATACTAAACTAATGCTAGAATTTCGAAACAAAAAAAATACAGGAGTGAGTGTATTTGTATTTACTCTTTTCCTTTTTCCCGTTGAGTTACTCGGAGCTGCTCAAAGTCAGAAGCTTGAACGTTTTTCGTTCGGTGTTTGTTCGGTGTCACTCGATGTATAAAAGGAATACAGTAATTTCCGCATTCACCAAACCGTTGACCAAACACAAAAACAAACCAAATACGTCCCCTTTCTCAAGGAGAATAAACTTCTAAGGAGTGCTTATCGGCCCCTTTTTGGGTAATTGCCGCCATATTAGTTTTCAACTGTTTCCAACCACTGCTGACGTCATAACAAAGTCGCCAGCTGTTTGCGCCAGCGGTTTTATAAATTTATAATTTGTCATGAAAAATATTTTATTTTGATTTTGATTAACCATTATAGCGGGTAAAGGTACCCTATGCTATGATGGAACCAGTAGCGCGATATCTGGCTAGCTTTCGTCATTCCGTCTATTTACACGTTTTCAGCATGTATGATTTAATGGAGCCCTAGGAGAATTACGCGGCGTTTTGTTTACATTTCTTTATGTAAGTATAATAACTATAAGATAATTTATTCTATACTATTTAATTGTTTTTAGGGTTTTCTCATATTATTATAACATATTCCTATTCGAGCATAAATTGTTTGTTTATGTATTATATTCTTGTAAATATTACTGTCCCATATGGCATATGGGCCTGGGCAGAAGCTAACATTTTTAGCTGTAGGTACTTACATTTTGTTTGTGGAATTAGCCATCAGGAAGCTTTGAATACTGCTTATGATAATGAAAATGTTGATGGCATAATATATCGAGCCCACACAGAAAGCAAAGAGCTCACTGACTAAGATTCAGCAGATGAGGAATGTGGTTTTGACTTATCTACTAGGCAACTTTTGTGCTAGTGCAGAAATTGTTTATTCGAATGGGAAATATATCACAGGTAGAGTAGAATTAACAATTTTTTGGGAAATCATACAATTTTAACTTTATTTTTATTTTCAGACATACCCGAGGAAATATAAAGTACCACCGCGCTACAGGAGAATATGCTTCGGGCTGCAGCAAGTGATTTTTGAGTCAATAATGATATAAGGTATTATGGACTGCATCATTATTGAAACACTTTTCCTGAACGTAAAAAAAACGATGTGGTGGTCAAAACTGTAGCAGCCGAGGAAGAACAATGTGCTGCAAATGCAATATCGACTTATTTATTCACTGTTCTCGAAAGTTTCACACTGGGTAATAATTTTCACCCATAATGCTGCTCGTGATGATGCAGGCCAAAATTCATTATAATCTATTTCGTTTATCTGACCCGAAATGATTATATCTATACAACAGCCTAACCGGATCTTTTTCTTATATTTTTGTAAACTTTCTACAATAGGACATTGCCAAAAGGGTCTCAAGGCTGGTATGGATCTCCCTTATAATGTCTGCATTTGAATAACTTGTATGTGTAATAAATAAATAAACATTTTATAAATAACTCTTTATTTTTATTTATAAATAGGTGAAAATTAAATTAACAAAGTCAAATAACTTGACCACAAATCTGATTTTTACTCGAACTACCTATAATATAATACTGGTAATTAGGATTTAATAAACACTTTACACGTTCTGCTGTTTGCTCGGCCATTTGTATGCCTATCTGAGAAGAATTTAATAATTGATTAAAAGTATAACTACATTCATTACTTGTATCAGTCTCACTAGAATCTTGATTTCTTTTTCTTTCGGCAAGTTTTTCAGCACCCATGGAATCTATTTTTTGGCTCGGTTTATGGATCACTATAGAAGAGGGCAAATTCTGGGATGGTACAACTGTTTTTTTCAATATCCGACCTCTACCTGTACCTCTAAAGGGTGGGTATTATAAAACTACTTTGAGAGTTAACTTAAAGTTAACTTCTGGAATTACATGTAATTCAAAAAGTTAACTTTAAGTTAACTGTCAAAGCAGTTTTATAATACCCGCCCTAAGACCTGTACTCTCACCTGTAAATAATAAAAACAGTCAATATTTTCAAACAAAACATTTTAAAAATAGATAGTACTTGATAAATGCCTAAAAGCAGGCCTAAAATGAAGCTAGGGCACAAAACTATCCATTATGCTTGTTTACCTTAACACAAAATTCTTGCTTAATTGAGATGCAGAGAATACACTTTCATGAATTTGGTGACTGGTTTGCCAATACGAAGTTTTAAAATCCAGAAGGCTTTTCTTCTCGACACTTCTTTTTCCATTTTCGTTTCCAAATAAACCCGTGGGCCTGTTTCAAGGGGAAATATGTAGAAACTCAATCCTTTGTCAGCTTTTTTTTTTAGCCCAAGACTTGCATTGAGGAACACAACAGTAATGATTAAAAGTCATGATTATATGTATCTGATATAATTTTATAATTTTAGACTTTAATTATACTAGAAACTAGTTCCATAATTTCCAGCCAGCAGCCAGATCATAACATAACCTGTGGTGCAAACAGCCTACGTCAAGACGAAAAACGCCATGATGTTTACGTCACAACTGATTTTTTGGCTAGGCGGGGTAGGGGGGGATTTGTTACACACAGGCCTTATGAGGATAAGCCATCCTTAGTAGTGTGTATCATCCTTGCCCTTTCTGGCCTTTCCACAGTTTCTACCGTTTATTTCTATACTATTTGAAAGTCAGAGATGGAACTATGAGTATGAACTATGGGAGTTTTCCATTTAATTTTTATTCAAAGATGTGTTTTCAAACGCATCAAAGTTTTGCTGTAGTAAAAATTAAAAAACAGGATGTCGAAAAAATGCGAGGGTAGGGGTATTATTCGCATTCGATTCGATCAAAATTTTCGTGAGTAGTTACAAATGCGAAAAAAAATAATGATTTGTATCATCACTTTTTGTCTCCTATTCACTATAGAATACAGTATACACGGCACAACCCTAGGAATTCTAGGAATACATTCAAAACACATTGAAAAAAAAAACTAATTCAAAAAACCAGGTTTACTGAACCACAAGCAAAATACGTGAATATTACATGATATATATTGACGACAATGTGTATTACATTTATCACCAGAAAAACGCGTCAATATTACGTGATAAAAAGCACGTCATTTGAACGGCATTTATCACACGTCAATATGTCGTCAGTTTTTGGTCAGGTGACGAGTATTGACGAATTATCACCATATAAGGACGTCAATATGACGTACCCTTGCTGGCTGGGTTGCTTGGCCGCCACGCCATATTGAATTTTCCAATTTGACAGATGGATTGAATTGCCTAATAGGCCGGCATACACACACGTTATTTCGCGCGGTTTATCGTGTCATCTGCAAAAAGCTGTCAAAAATCATGTGCGTGGGTGAGGAGGGCTGCGCGCAATGATAGAATGGGAATGGATTCCACACGTGCTTTCATCTGGAATGTGGCGTCAGTACTCAAGTACTTGATAGCGCAGTTCACACTCGTGTCCACACGCCATTTCACGTCACGGTTTTGAGGCTAGTACTAAAACATGAACGCCACGTCGCAAACTATCAGGTTGAAAATTAGTACATGACCACATGCACTTTCAAATGACACGATAAATTACACTTTTTGCCCACACACATACGATTTTTCCTTTGAAACTGATACGCCCCGCGTAATCACATGCTGAATCATTTGAATACTTTGTCAAGTGTATGGAACATGACGCTTTTTTTGCCACACCGTTCTTTCGCGCATGGTAACCGCAACTCCCAACATGCCACGATAAACCGCGCGAAATAACGTGTGTGTATGCCGGCCTATAAGTCATCGTAACATAAACGTCAGCGTCAGCCAAAATATCATAAAATTCAAAAATCCACTCATTTTTATAGGGTAGGTTTTCAACATTTTGTAAAAAGAAAGCTGGCAACGCAGCAAGCGAGTGCATCTTTTGCGATTTTGGGTCTGTTCCCACAGGAGTCTTTGACAGTTTGCAAACTGTCAGTAAGCATCGCCCATACATATTTCCAATGCTGTCGTTCCAAGATTAATCTGTAACTGAGCTGAGCGCTTGTTTCTGACAGTTTGCAAACTGTCAAAGACTCCTGTGGGAACAGACCTAGAGATGCACACGTCCAATGGCAATTTCAAATAAAGCTATTCGCACATAACAAGTTGCGTATACAAACAAATTGATGCAACTTTGCGTGCACGCAGATATTTGCGATCGATTTCAAATAAAGCTCCCGAATAGATCTTTAAGTTGCCAAAATTTCAATGATATTTGAGTACAAAAAATTAATAGACACAACTTTCACTAAAAAAAAAAAACAATATTGAATTCTTAAAAACTTTGTTTTACCTTACCATTTGATTTCTCAGATTGAACCTATTGTAAATGTTGAGTAAAAAATATGTATTAAAGGCACTTCTTCACAAAACTTATTCAAAAAGTAGATTCGTTGTAGTTATTTTGTAGCAGAAATGTTTTGAATTTTTGACATGCCTGTCAAACCCATTCCTATCTATTCAATAGAAATAATCACAATGTTCACTATCAAATGGTTTTTTTTTCAATTTGGCCAGATCTCGCAAAGTACTGACAACTAACTAATACCCAGACCAAAGTTTTGCTGCAATCTTGCAAAGGCTATTAATACTAAATTATAAAGAATCCCTCCTATACAGGGCGATTTACGTTGCTCGTGCATTAGCTTGCAGTTGGATTAGATGCTATTTCTATGGAAAATTTCTAATGCACAGGCTACGTAAATTAAGGTGTATGTGGCCAACCCTGATAATATATTAGAAAGGAAAAGTCTCGGGGAAAGTATAGAAGAAAGAATTACCATAATTAAAAAATAAAAATAAAACACCGCATTTCATTAGAATAGGTAGTTTATCCCAAGTATGGAAATATAACCAATCAACATTTTTATTCTAAAATATTACAAACTATAAAAATTGTACGTTTCAGTTTCAGTGTTCGTCTTCATAATTCATTAGCACTTATTTACATATCATTTTTTTAGCTTCCAAAATTAATTATTAACATCAACATAGAACAAAAAAGTTTGATTTAAAAATACAGTATGTATTACTTAATATAAGCAACTAGACTAATACAAATATTAAAGAAACAAATGTTTACTTGAACAAACACAAAACAGGGGAGCATCTCAAATCATGGCACAAGTAATCAGAGAAAATTAAATTTTGGCAATACAGAAAATGTAAAAATTAATACAAAAATAAAAAGTATGTAATACTTATTTAGCTGCAATAATTCGTATCTGTATACTGCCAATAACAGTCATTTACCAGCAATCAAGGGAATAATGTTCACTAATACAAATTTTTTCCTGTTCTAAACTCACTTTTTTGAGTAGGTAACTCCTGGTTAAACAAGATATCATTGGGACAAATGGATTCTAGACATTCATATGATCAAAACTGTAGGCAAGAATTTAATAGAAAAATTTGAAAGCTGCAGCAATAAATAAAAATTGAGAACTCTCTACTCCCTTGACTGTTCACATAACCAGAACCAATCTATAGGCCGAGGCAACAGTTGTGTTTGATAAGGAAGCCTATAACACTGCAAAATCTAAAATTAATCAGATCAGGGTGCTGAACTTTGGTCTTGGTAGTTCACCAAATATAGTGTCACCATGAACACTTCTTGCCAGTGCCTTGATACTAGCGGCCATGTCAAACTGCTCATTTCCTTTTGGAGACTGAAAAACAATAAATTTATTATGTTATCTTAAATAGAATTCTCACAAAACTCACCAAGTCAACAGCTCCATCATCGTCCTCAGAACGACTATTTTTGCTCCTGAAGGATGCCGAAAATATCGGAATATCAACGGGGCACGACTTGGCAATGTTGGAAGACGATGTAGATTTACCACGAAGAATAGTTAAACCACGAGAATTATTGGTCACTACGTCTGAAACTATAAATTTTTATAAGTCTCTACAAGCACAATGTCGAAAAAATTATAGGGGCCAATAACAAAATAACATTTTTCCATAAATTCTGGAACATTTTGAGAAAAAAATTATTTTTTAGCAAGTTAGGCATAGACTCCTTTCATTTTTAACCTTTTATGCCTATTCGGACATTGGGACATGGATATTCTACATATTTCCAGAGTTTTGGTGGTCTACCCCGAGTTCTTTTTTCAAGTAAACGGTCATGTAGAGTGGTAATATCAAGTAAATTTTTTCACTTGCATAGTTTAAATAATGCTGGTCGAGTCCAGTATCGACTTGAGTCAAGTAGTGAAGGGCAAGTGAGTTTGCACAGAGGACAAGTAGCGCGACTTAACTGTCACCCGCACTACAGCTTTCATCACTTAGGGCGGGTATTATAAAACAATTTTGAAAGATAACTAAAAGTTAAGTTCTGGAAATACCACAGCATATAAAATACTATGACAAGTATCGTCATTCCAGAAGTTAACTTTTAGTTATTCTGTCAAAATAGTTTTATAATACCCATCCTTACTCCTACTTGACTGTTTATTTTTACCAATGTAAACAAATTATTGAAACAAATGCTAAACAAGCTAAGCGGAGCAAGTACACAATGCGATTTTACGCCAAGTTGCAACGACTTACGCCTAGTGCCCCTACTGAAATAGATGTGAAAACGCGTTTGCTTCACTAGTTGGTTGGTCAAGTCCGAGGTCAAGTCAAGTAGAACATAACCAGGAAAGTGTGAGGCAAGTTACTTGACCCGCAACTTGACTCATGTAAGCAAGGCTTTACCGGCTTGTAATGTAACGGTTTTTAGTGATTGCTTTTTATTATTTTCATTTCCACCTTTCACGCCATTTGCTGTGTCGTGGAGGAAGTATCTGGTCTTGTTTCAGCTGAATATCGCTGTCTTATACATTCTCATTTTTCTTATTTTACTATTTATGTTGAGGTATTTGTTCCTTCTCACTATGTCTCATTAGACATAGGTAGTACATATACAGGAGCCAGCTTTATTAATCACTGGTTCACTTCGCATTCACACATATTCTGATGATATCTGCTAAATGGGCTTGGTCATATTGAGAAAACATATACATAGGTACACTACCTGAATACAGACCAGACCAACCTAATAGACATAAGGAGTAATAAGATGAATTAGCTTGTACCCGGTTTAGGCGAATCAAGGCGGTGCTCCTGAAGCCAAGTATAGCTGAGCTGCCAAAGATACACAAATTTTAATAACTTTCAGGGACGATTAGAGATCCATCTTGAGGATCCTGCAGCAGTAGTTATGCTTTATTGTCAGAAGAAACAGTAATCCTTATGGAGCAAAGCTAAGCAGTCAAATGGGAATCAGTCAACTGGGGTCCCATTGAAGCCTATGTGTCAATGTATCTAGTAGCCTGTTCCTGTCTGTATAATCAGGTTTGTATTTTAAGGATTCTTCTGCTATTTGGTTGACAATAAAGATTGAATTGATGGCGGATCTATTTTTTTGAAACCTTTCTTTGGAGATTTGTATTAGTTTACAGATTTATTCTTAAAATGTTATAGTGAAAGCTTTGAGATATTTTCCAGTTTTTTGTGTGTTGCAGTGTTGGGATGGGATGTCAACTTAACTTACCTTCTGCTTCTTCTAAATCACCCTCACTGTCACTATCATCCAGATGACTGTTGCGAGAATCACCCCTTTCTTCGTACACCTCAGTTTCAAAGTCAAACATCAAATCTTCCCTTAGATCGTCACTTTCGAGATTAGTGCTGGTACCCTTTGGTTTTTTTGGTGAGAGTGGATTTTCCTAAAAACGACATTAAATTGTAGTGGTTTCACAAAAACCGAAATAAATGTTTGTCATGTTATTCGAAAAATTTTGAATTTTGATCAAATAAAATGTTTACCAAACGACTGACAGAAGAAAGATTTCCAAATGCTTTGGGCGATTTTGGCGACAGATCATCGGTGCCATTTTCCCTAGCAGCATTTTGGACAACTCTATAAATAACAAAAATTACATTTCTTTACAAATAAAATAAACAAAATTTACCTAACTAAAGCTTCACGTTCCTTATAGGCTTTATCCTTGAGGATATTTAAAAGCTCGTACTGTTCGTCACTATACTTTTTGATTCTTTCTTCTACAGCGACTTGTTCCTTCCTGATACATTCCGTTACAATATCATTAAGATCTTTAAGGCACTTGTCAACCCGTTTGTTGTGATCTAAAATATGTAATAAATTAAATATTTTTAGAAATCCTATTCAGTTACAACTCACATGTAACTGGAATTGAATTGTCAAGTCCAATAGCATTGGGGTTAACAACTATATTGTAGATGGTAGACACCAAGTCGCTTGATTTGAGGTTATTAATAGCCTCTTCATTCTAGAATAAACATTGGCAATTTGGCGAAAATACTTTATGTACAACAGTAAAGTAATTACCAAGAGTTTAGTATGAACAAGCACATAAGTAGCTCCTTTCTCCTTATGAATGGCATGTGTTTGTACGTCACAGTTTAAGCAGTAGGTAATATTCCATAAACCTACTGATCGAGTTCGAATCAGTCCAGGGTGGACTTTGATGACGTTGAGCAGTTTTCCTAGATACCATTGGTCCTAAAAGTTTGAAACATTTCTCAGATTTTCAATTGAAAAATGATAAATTTTTATTTCGCTTATTTTTACAAAGTTCTAAGTATGAAATTAAATATTTTAATACAGGGTATAGTTTTTTTAATGATTTCTAGAAATAGTACAGAATACTTTTTTTGTGTAATTGATTCAGTGCGAAATTTACTAAGGTTTTATACAAACTTCCAAGCAAATTTCTAAAATATGTAGGTCCTCTTTTCAATTTTAACTGGGTTGTGAACTGTGAACTGGCTTCAATCATATAAGCTAAGATTAAACTTAGCAAAAACGAACTACATAGCATTTTTCTCGGCATTTTTATTTTCTGGTGCAAACAGACCACAATATGATTCCATCGTCGTAGATAATAATTGTATTAAAAAAACTTCATCAACAAAATACCTCGGAATTGTCATTGATAAATTTCTTTAATGGCAACTACATATTGATTATGTTTCCAATAGAATTCGCAAACTCATTCATAAGTTTTATTTATCAATAGTAATATAACTAGTGCAATGGAAATTATTGATAATTTTTGGGAAAGGACAGCACACCACTTATGGGTTTTTGGTTTTCTGTCAAACTCAATGAAATTTTGATATGTGTTAGACCTTTACATCCTGATAAAAAGTTCTCATGGGCCCGAACCAATCCTATGATTAGTTTTTGAGATACAGGTACTTTTATGTCCAAGAAATGTATACATTTTATATGTATTCACATCTACCTGTCACCTAATAACAGGTCTGTTTCTGCAAAAATCACAAACTTGTCAGAGCGAATTTGATTGGTCGAAAACAGTCAGAAACATTCAGAAAACTAGTTTCAACCAATGAAATTCGCTCTGACAGACCTAATAATAGGTGACAGGTAGATGTGAATGCATATAAAATGTGTACATTTCTTGAACATTAAACCACCTGTATTTCGGAAACTAATCATAGTATCGAGTTGGGCCCATGAGAACTTTTTATCAGTAAGTTAAGATATACCACATATCAAAATTTCATTGAGTTTGACAGAAAACCAAAAACCCATAAGATGTGTGCGGGGTCCTTTGCCCGAATGCATTATTAGTTGAAAAAGAGCACGAGTGCATGTAGTGCACGAGTGCCTTTTTCAGTTAAAAACGCATGAGTGCAAATTTGTCGAAAATTATAAATATATTTCCATTGCACGAGTTGTATTTATTGAGAGAATTTCATAAATCAAAAATTAAAACACCAGTTTTCGCACCAGTTAGTATGCAATTATCTGATAATTTGCACTAGTGCAAATTATCGCGTAATTACAATCTGATTGGTTAAATCAACAATCAAAACATGTCAATTCATTGTTGGAATACCAGTTTTGACAAATGCATGAAATTCTCAAGATAATTTTTAAATAAAAGAACGCCTACAAAGCATTTGCAGAATTGATGATAAGATATGGAATATTGGTGTGGGTGGACTTTATAATCTGATATTTGGAGCGAGAATTCTTGAGAGTGTATACAGTGTGATTTTTTAAGTGTGCAACAAATGGGGATTTTTTTTAGTAATAGCAGAACCCAAATACAAACAAGGCCAAAAGTTGGTGCATGTCTGATAATCATATTAGGTGCACTTAGAATGGTTGCAAGTCCAACAGCATACAGGGTAGCTCAAACAATATCAAAGCTGGTACTGTAAAGTACCCTTATTTTAGAAAATTCAGCAAAATGTTATAGAGAAAAGTTGTTTGGAATTAAAAGTTATGCCTAAATACCAAAACACAGCCTCCTAAGATTTTTTTTATTTTCTTTCGAAAAAAATCTATAATTTCTATATTTTTTTTATTTTTTATTTCCGCCCTTAAGACTTTCAAAAATTAATTAAAATCAAGTCAATTTTACATAACTTTGTTCAAATTCAAGCATATTTGTAAAATTAACTTAGATTTTTAATTTTTTATGGAATCACAAAATTCATGTTTGTTGCAATGATATTCAAAACAACTTTAAAATGTCGCAATTTTTTTTTTTTAACAAGTTAAAACAGTACTTATGATAATAGCCATATTAAAAAAACTCTCCTTAAAGTGCAAAAGTTTTATTTTATTTAAGTAAATATTAGTAAAATTTTGATATTTTTTGAGCCACCCTGTATGCTGTTGGACTTGCAACCATTCTAAGTACACCTAATATGATTATCAGACATGCACCAACTTTTGGCCTTGTTTGTATTTTGATTGTGCTATTACTAAAAAAAAATCCCGTATGTTGCACCCTTAAGTAATGACACTGTATAAAAACTTCATATTTTTGCCGATTTGTCAAAAACGAGTGGACTAAAATATGAAGTGTGTTATATCATTGTAATCGAAATGAGACATTCTATCGAACACATATACAGGGTGTCCCACAATCAGCGTTACAGGCCATAACGTTCTTGATTTTAGAAATAAAAATTTGAAACAAAAAAATCGATTAATGGCTAGTTAAGCTCTCTTCAAAAATATAAAAAAATCTTACCCTGACAAAATCATCCCCTATTCAAAACCCTCGACTTTTTTTTTCAAATGGCACCCCTATATTTTTTATAATTTTTGAGAAGCTCATGAAATCGCAAATTCAATGATGTATAAAAAGTTTGCTTTTCTATGTTTGGTTGGAAAAAAAAATCAAAAATAAATAAAAATGAGGTTGTATTTGAAAAAAAGTCAAGGGTAGTATTTAGGGGCTGATTTTGTCAGGGAAAGATTTTTTTATATTGTTGGAGAGAGCTTAACTTGCCATTAATCGTATTTTTTGTTTCAAATTTTTATTTCGAAAAATAAGAAAGTTATGGCCTGTAACGCTTCTTCTTTTGAGTTTAACACTGCGTTAGTGCGACAGCACTCTTACGCAATTTTGGGTGTCTACTTACTGCCATGTGTTGTGTTTTCAGTTAATTTTTGTTCGGGGAAAGGGAGGGGAGTGAGGAAAGGATAGGAAGGAAGGTAAAGGACGGAAGGGGATTTCATTCATTAGAAAAGAAGTGGAGCTCTTAAATTTCTGAACATAGTTCTGTCAGGGTTAATAGTATAGTTATCGTCAAATAAAGATTTAATTATGTCATTTGTATGGTTAGTTACTTTGTCAAGAAACCGCGTATGTTTCTCAACAAGGTACTCCTGGATGGTATCAACGCTCAGGTCTGTATGTAGGTCCGCATTGCGGACATACCACGGAGCGCCGACCATCCTGCGGATTACCTTGTTTTGAAACACCTGCAGTTTCTTTTTATTTTGACGTGTTGTCTGTGAAAAAACTGTTGCACCGTAAAGTAATGTAGGTCGGATAACTTGTTTGTATAGTAATAGTTTGTTTTTTAGAGTTAGTTTACTGTCCTTGTTAAGTAATGGATAAAGCAATCCCACTAATCTGTTGCATTTATTCAGTTTATGATAAATGTGGGGGGTCCAAGAAAGTTTACTGTCCAGTAATAGTCCTAGATATTTAATTTGATTTGTCCATGTAATTTCGGAATCGTCTAGTATGAGAATGTCAATATGCTTGTCACGTTTGTTGGAGATCGGACGGCTTGGGTCTTATCGATGTTAATTTTAATTTTCCATAATTTTGCCCAGTCAATTATGGAGTCAAGATGATTTTGTAGTCGTCTATGTATGTGATGTAAGTACTTTTGTGAAGTGTAAATACAAGTGTCATCTGCGTAGATGGACATTTTAGTATGGGGATTAATGGGGATGTCAGCCGTGTAGAGATTATAGAGCAGTGGAGCCAGGACAGAACCTTGAGGAACTCCCGCTTCTATAGGTCTGACATTTGAGAAAGTATCTTTGTTGAGTTTGACACGGAAACTTCTGGCTTTAAGGAAATTAATGAGCATTTTGACAAGAGATAATGGCAGAAAATATTTGTCATGAAATTTGACTATGAGTCCAGCATGCCAGACGCGATCAAAGGCTTTCTCAACATCCAGCAGCACAACACCCGTTGAGGCGCGGCGCTGCAGGGCACGAGTAGTTTCTTCAACCAACCTGGCAAGCTGAATCTCAGTGGAATGATTTGGACGAAAACCAAATTGTTCGTCAGGGAGAATGCTGTCCAGATAATGTAAGGATTTAAGTTTTACATGAATTATTTTCTTAAGAATTTTAGAAAGTGAAGACAGAAGACTGATTGGATGGTAATTTTGTGGAAATTGATGATCCTTATCTAGTTTTGGGATCAGTATCACGGTTGCCAGTTTCCATGCTTTAGGAAAGTAATTGAGTTTAAGGCATTCATTTAGAATGCGAGTAAATGTCGCGACGACGTTGTCCGGAAGGTTTTTGAGGACTTTATTACTAATATCATCGTAACCAGAGGCTTTTCTGCTGACTGAGCGGGCAATGAAAAATTTTACGTCGTCGGTGGAGACAGGTATTATTGTATCATTCGGAGGAATAGGCAGCCTACAGATTTCTTTATAGCGCCTGTCTACGTCCTCTTCATGAACAATATCATCATCAGGGTGTTCATTAGGTGAAAATTGTGATTGAAGTGAGTCAGCAAAAGCACTTGCTTTTTCTTCATTAGTATACACCAAACCAGCTCTACCATGAATGGGGGGAATCTGCTTATTTTTCTTATTTAAAAGAGAACGAATTATTTTCCATAGAGAATTATCCTCAGGGGACAAGTCAGCTAATAAATTACCCCATTTCTCGTTTTTGTGTTCCTTAATTAAACTTTTAATTAAGTTCGTAAGTCTGTTACATTCAAGTTTAATATTTGGGTCTCTAGTCCTTATTGCCAGCCTTTTAAGTCGATTTCTCAACTTAATTTGCTGGCGTATGTGATGTGGTAGTGAGTATGGGTTATTTTGTTTGGTAGTTATAGAAATTTTAGTGCTATTTAAACAGTCATTTACTTCTTGAGTAAACGTGTTAATAGCACTGTCAATGTTCAGAGTCGTGTTTAACACGACTGGTGGGATATGATTGGCTTCAAGATGTGATTTGAATTGCGGATAGTTGTTAAAGGAAAAAGTATGGTGAGTATTTACATCTGGGACCTGACCACCAACTTTAAGACTAATTGAAGTGTGGTCGGAGCTGAGATCGTTAATATTGCCAATACCAATGTTATAAGGGACATTTTTGGATAGAGCAAGGTCTAGAATGTCAGGGGTAATATTATGAAAATGAGTTGGCTCTAAGGGAGCATGAACTGAGATGAAATTGTCCTGGGTGAATTGAAGTAGAAAAGTGCCCGCTGTATTATTAGCGCGACACCCTCAGGCTCTGTTTTTGCAGTTTAAATCTCCTGCAACTAAGGTCGGAGCATCAGAACCGAAGAAGAGGTTCATATCATCACGGGTTAAGTGTTTAGAAGGAGGCTTATAAACGCTGAAAATATTAAGCGGCCTGTAACGCTGATTGCTCACATGTCAGAAAATTGATAGTGTTTTAGATTATGAAATAGGTAACTTGAAAAAAAACTTGGCTACTAATCCCACATTTTGTTTTTTTGTTTACCTTGATATCTTCAAAAACAAAAAAGTTACAGTGGATTAAAATAAAATAAATTGAATGCACGGTACAATAATTATTGTATTGTATATGTTACTGTAAATGCCCGAAATTCGGTAAAACCTAGGATAAGCGCGCTAAACCTAGGATTTACCAGAAGCAAGTGGTAAAAGCCCGAAAACTAGTTATTTTACTTCCATTTCGGACTTTTACCGGACACATACAGTAAATCTTAGGATTTACCATAACGCATTGGTAAAAGTACGAATACCACTGATACGTTACAGAAATCGATATCGTGAAACGATAATCGTTAAAATTTCTATGTCTAAAAATAAGATACTTTATGAAACAAAAAGTCACACCGAAACACTTTCTGTTTTAATATTCTTAAATGTAAACAGAAATCATAGTGGCCTTAAACAAGATATTAAAAAAAAAAACGTCAAAAATTTAGTAACTATGTTGGCAACACAAGCCTTTTCTATATAAAAAATTTGAAAGCATTGACAATTTTACATTGTATTGCCAACAGAATGTCATTTTGACTTTTATCTTTAAAAAAAAAACAGATTTTTCCTACAGCCGTGCGGAAAAATCGATTACTGATATGCGTGCGGAAAATGAGTTTTCCCGCACGGTGCGGTAAAACTTTTTTTTCCTACGAGCGTGCGCAAAGTAGTACTTTTCCGCACGCATTACAGTTCTCAAAGTTTCACTTTTCCGCACTCAGTGCGGATACGGGCCTTATCCGCACTGAGTGCCGAAAAGTAAAAATAATTGTCAAGCAACAATCAGTGCACCTGTCGACTTTGACACATGATGAAAAATTTGTTCTCTGTTTCTATATCAGCCAACATCTATACAAACACTGAATATAATTAACTTTGACACATTGTCAGATTTGTGTTCCCATTTACATACAAGAATCTACAAACTTCTTTCGCATCAAATTTAAACGCTTTAACATAAACAACAGCTCTGACGAGGATTTCAATTTTCTGTTTTTCTTTTATGTATTTTTTTGATGAATGAATAGGTTCGCTTTAAGTTAATTGAAAATAATTGCACAAATTATCGTTTTTTTTTAAATTTTTGTTGTTACCTACCTGATATGAAGCTCGTAGGAAAAATTTTGTTCCTAACACGTGCGCAAAGTGTCTTTTCCGCACGCAAACACTTATCCGAACTCCGCTTCGCGTCGTTCGTATAACTGTGTTTGCGTGCGGAAAAGTAACACTTTGCGCACTTGTTAGGAAAATAACTATTTTTGACATATCAGTGCGGAAAAAGTTTTTCCGCACGACTGTTAGTGCGGAAAAAATTTTACCGCACTGATATGTCAAAAAAAAAAAGAAAAATTTTACATTTTTTCGCCTATAGGAAAAATATTGTACCTAACACTTGTGGAAAATATTTTTCCGCACTCGGCCACATCACCGAACTCCGCTACGCGTCGTTCGGTGAACGGCAGCCGCGTGCGGAAAAATTCATTTTCCGCACTTGTTAGGTAAATAGCTATATTGGTACAGGGCAAACTTCCATGGCATTTAGAATTGCAGAGTATTTAGAGGATCTGAATAAACATCTTTTGGTGGAACATTTTCGAATACAATTGCATTTCTTAAATCATTGGCAACTACATAACGACAATTTTCGCATTGCACTTTTTACGCTAATTTTCTGAGATAGAAAATCTCCAGGACACAAGAAATTTTCTTAATTTTCTTAACGATTATCGTTTCACGATATCGATTTCTTTAACGTATCAGTGGTATTCGTACTTTTACCAATGCGGTGTGGTAAATCCTAAGATTTACTGTTTGTGTCCGGTAAAAGTCCGAAATGAATCAGAATCAGAATCGTTTATTGGTGCTTAAAAATACACAGTACAGTGTTTACACAAGTCAAAATAATCAAATACAATTTAGTAATCTAAAATTACAATTTCATTAAAAAATTAGACTAACTATCTATTTCACATGATTTTAAATATCTGCTTTACAAAAATATAAAAGTTATGTTTAAAAATTCCAACAACAATTACAAATTTACTGTCACTCACTAATACAACAATTATCAGGACAAGGACATTTAAAAGTTTGGAATCAATAAATAAAATTTAAAAAAAAAGCATATAGCAATGACTAGAGACAATTTTTGGTTGGTGCAACTGTAAAGAACAATTGATATAATAATAAATATGAAAAATAATTTATTTGTTTGTTTTAAATAATGTTTGTGCCTGTCCAGCTGAGTGTGGAATTATAAAATTCATCTAGACTGTAAAACGCCTTAATTATGAGAAAATCTTTAATTTTTTTCTTAAATTCGGAATTATTTAGTTGTATTACATGCTCTGGTAATTTGTTAAAAAGTTTTACAGCATGATATCCAGGTCCACCCTGACATCTTTGTAAACGATGGTAGATGGGTCTTAAGTTATTTTTGTTTCTCGTGTCATGGCTGTGAAAATCACCATTACACATAAATGAATCATAATGGTCCCTAACATAAACCAGATTTTGCAGGATATACTCACAGGGCAAAGTCAAAATTCTGTTGTCAATAAAAGCCTGCTTGCAGTCAGCTCGATAGCCCAAACCAGCCACTATTCTAACAGCCCTTCTCTGCACAGAGAAAACCCTCTGTGCTCCATTTGCATGACCCCATATTAGCAAAGCAAATGAAAGCAAAATACCTAGTTTTCGGGCTTTTACCACTTGCTTTTGGTAAATCCTAGGTTTAGCGCGCTTATCCTAGGTTTTACCGAATTTCGTGCATTTACAGTAACATATATACCGGGATATATACATAAATATGTAGATATTAGATGTAAGAGAAATAAATCCATTTTCGAGAAGAAGTTTCTTCTGGAAAATAAAACTAAAACTAAATATATGTATTTAAAAAAAGATGAATCAAGTCTAGCTTTAGTGCAATCCTCGGTGCAATGAATTTGGCCAAGAGTTTATGTATAAAACATAAACTCTATTTTTTCCCAAAATAGATTTTGACATTGTCAACTTTGAAACATAAACAATGCCGCTTATTGGTCGCAAGATGCAATTTGCACGAAATTTGTAAAATGATGTCAACCTGCAGGGACACCTCATTTTGCGACCAATCAGGGCCAAGTGGTGTTGTTTATGTTTCAAAGATTTCAATGTCAAAATCCATCCTGGGAAAAAATACACCATAAGTGCATATTTATTAGACCATATTTATTTTTTTTTGTTATAGGTGGTGGGAGAGGATTTCTTTCTACAAAATTTGGAACTGTTTTGTCTGTGCTTGTCAGTACTTGTATCTGTCTATGATCATTTAGAGCTTTGCACAATATGGATAAGATTTTTAACTTCTTATCTTGCATTCATTGTACCAAAATTTTTGCATCCGATAAATCACCCCTCATAAAATGCTCAGAATATTATAATTAAATCCCTTACACTCTAAGATTTAATCTATGATCCTTACATGATTGAAAAATATGTCAGCTTTGTCCAGCTTACTGAGTTCCAGGGCTTCCGTTGTGACCTTATCATGTTTGACAAAGTCGATGACAATGTTTAGACAATTGCACGAAATCATCACTCAACCCTGCTAGGACACTGAAAAGCAACACGACTAAAAATTAAAAAAAAAAAAGGCAGTCTACCTTTAGGGTGAATTTCAAACAGTATGTTAAAATAAAAAGCTTTACTACTGGAATACTCAAGTTTTTTGATAGGTAATCATAGTTATTTTTTGGTTTACATATTATATCCAATTGTAAAGGAATTGTATATAAATAAAGTTTATCTAGAAAGACACACAAAAGATAAAAAAATCGCTCAGGAAGAACCCAATCTTATCTCAGCTGGGCAAACGCAATAAAAAATCAAAAAGTGGATGCGTGTGACATAAGTAGTGCCTTAAATAATTATTTTGCCCAGCTATCAACAATACAACTATTTGCCTGGATTACCGAAAGCTTTCCTAAATATTTTTGGCCAATTGCCAAACAATTAAATTGACTTGTGTATTATTCAAAATGTAAATAATCATAATATTCACTTTACCTGTTGTTTTTCTTTTTATCCCTTGGTTGTCAATGGTATTTGGAAGACTCCTACAGCGAAACTCAATACTGAGGAAATTTTTATCTACAATTTTTACGAATTTTAATTAAAGAGCTATACAGATAAACATCGAATAAAGAAGTATTCGGTATTTGGTTTTTCAGCTGTTGAGGATCTATTATTATACACAAAGCAAGAGCAGTCAAATCAGAAAATATCAGCCATTCCCCATTCCCAACAACACAACACACACACATGCGTAGATAAATAAAAAAGTAGAGTAGAGAAGAAAAGAAAGTAACCTCAATTCACATCACAATTTTTAGACAGAATTGACTGACGGAAATACCAAGGATGATACGGAGTAAATACGATACGATGGTGCGGACGATCAGTGGTAAGAATCGTGCGGACAAATCTCAGGGCAGAATCACGGACAAACGTTGCTCGTTGCTCGACCCCAAGAATCGAGCAGGGTTGTGATTGTTGTGGTCGAGCTCCAGCTAATGTTGTTAAATTAATTCTCGGGAATATAAAAAAAAAGTAATATTTTCTGGAAATATTCCCGACGCCGACGCCTTGAGAATTTATTGGATATTTATGAAATTTATCAGAATATTCACAGATTTGAAAGACTTTCGGACATTTAAAGATATATTTCGGCTATTTAAGAAATATTTCCGGAATTTGAAAGATTCTAATTCATAAATTCTGTGTAAAATTAGGGGATCCGGCACCGGGGTAGTGATAATGGGGGATAACACACTAGACACTAGTACGGTATGAGCTGCATTACAGTAGCGAGTGGGGAATATTGCCACGACGAGGTCGTAGACCGAGACGTGGTAACCACACGAGTGTTGTAATGTGCCTTACCGTACGTGTGATATACAACATTTTATCTATAAGCCTTTAACCCTTTTCACGTGGCTCCGGCTTAACAAACCGCAACATACCGCTCAAATTCGAGTGGTATCGATCACTTCACTTTGTAACCGGGTTAGAAAACGTTATGTCAAACTTGACATACCGCTACTAACTGTTTTGTAACGTTAGTTTAAACCGGACCACGTGGAAAGGGCTTTTGGTTATGACGTTTTTACATAACAATTTTTCTAGTATTTGAGTTATGTCATGATTGTCATGAGACTCATAACACCAATGTGAGGTTAGTGGTGTTATGTTATAGACTAGTTCATGAATTCATAACAACAAACTGACATTAGGTTGGCAATACATGTAAAATTGTCAATGCTTTTAAATTTTTCATGTAGAAAAGGCTTGTGTTGCCAACATAGTTACTAAATTTTTGACTTTAAAAAAAAAAACACACTTTACAAGTGACTCTATTACCCACAGAGGCGACAATTGCTGTCTTATTTTTGATTGGTTCTAAAATCCCATATATTTATATTGAAAACGCGGCCATCTTGTTACCACCTATTGCTTATTTCAAATATGAATGAATACCTATATGGGATTTTGGTGAACATTCATCGTAAAACATGGAAAACAACGTATTTGATGGACTAAGGGCCGGTACTTTTGCTCTCGATTAACGAATTTGATACGTTGTCAAAGTTTTGCATGGGCCAAGGTCTATAAGTATGATGTGGTTAGAGCACATTCTAAGCCCTGATTATTTTTAACGGCTGTCAAATGACATCAAAAGTACCGGCACCTAATAATCAAATACATCGATTTAAATTTTTTATGATAGATGTCCATCCTATATATTTATGGCAGTGGATCAGGTCCCGGCAGCCGGGACCTCAAAATCACAATCAAGATCCCGGCAACCGGGATTTTTTACATTTCAGATACCGGCATCCGGGATTTTAATTGTAATTTTCAGGTCCGTCCCGGCTGCCGAAATTTTTTACGTCAGAAAAGAAATCCCGGCAGTGAGTTTTATTGACCAAAAATTTTACAATTCCTAATAAGCTAATAGTTGTATGTTGTACTTACATGAAAGAAATTTCTTATGAAAATTAATAGATAGTTATTTATATTTATGATATTATTGAAAGTACATTTTTAAGGCACACAAGTGAAATATAATGAGCGAAGTCATCTTATAAGGAAACTAGATGAGGATTATGTTGTCGACTTCATTTGTGTCGTGTCTGTGATAATCCAGGACAATAATAGTTTTTCTTTTTTTTCCTTGGTCTTTAGCTTTCGACCCTCATGGGCCCCATGTATACAACAGTATTTGATGTAGTGATACTTTAAATTCACATTAGCTTTCTCTATAATAGGAATAGGTATGTGGTACACGTTTTCGGGCAAAAGTAGAAGTTCTATTATCTCTCATCCAGTATTCGGTTGATGTTTGCTTTTTATGCACTTCTAGTTCCTTTATGAAATCTTCAAATGAATTGAACTTATCTCCGAGCTTCATTTTCACCAGTAATAATAGTAAAAACCGAGGTAAAAACTAAAAACACCATTCACCAAAGACTGAAGGTAAACTGAGCACGCAGATAACCTAAACTCCTTATGTGTAAATGCCGGGTGCCGGGATTACTTTCCTAATGGACCTGAAAATTAGAATTAAAATCCCGCGGCTGCCGGGATTTCAAATTAAAATGTTAAAAATCCCGATAGTCGGGATTTTGATTGTAATTTGCAGATCCCGGCTGCCGGGACCTGATCCACTGCCTATATTTATATTTAAAAGTAACAAGAGGTTGGGAACAAAATGGCGGCGGGACCTCGCTATTGTCGCCACTGTATGTGAAAGGTTTATTTAGCCACTGTAAACACCACTAGTGGTGTTATGGACTAGGTAATGAATCTAAAACACAACTGGTCGTTTATCGTTTCACGAGGACTCATACTTTTGACATCGAACACGTCAGAACTTGAAGAAAAAGGGTTGTCGTAGAGTCGTAGATAATCCATATGACACATTGGGGTACATTCAGGCGGTGCCAGCGGCTAAGCTCAGCCACTCAGCAGGGAATTTATTCTCGAAATCGAGGGAGGAACAGCCTTTTCATGAGAACGATTGCTGAAAAAGACCGCGGAATCATAACCTGTGATGCAAAAAGCCTACGTCAAGGCGAGAAACGGCGTGCTGCCTACGTCACAATTGGTGATTTGGCGTAGTGGGGGACTCCAGTTTGTTCTACACAGGTTTTATGAGGATAGGCTATCCTGTAGTAGTAAGTTAAATCTGTTTTGTTTTTAAAGATAAAAGTCAAACTGATATTATGTTGGCAATACAATACAGTGCAAAATTGTCAATGCTTTCAAATTTTTTATGTAAAAAAGGCTTGTGTTGCCAACATAGTGGTTAATTATCTTTAAAAAAAAACAGACTTTAGTGTGTATTATCCTCATTATCCTTGGGTATAACGAGGGGGTATAACATAAAAACTAGAATCCAGCCGTGTTTTGCTTTTAGTTTTTTATTTCGTTTAATATGTAAAAGCCCAGTGATTGACGATTGTTTCCGTGGAAAATCTATAGCACAAAGTGTTTTCATTCGATTTATTGCTGAGAATGTGCGCTCAACAGTCAACACTGGCGGAAGAATGAAGTGGTAATGACAAAATATTAAAAACAAATTCGGATATCACCGGACCCACGGGTATTCCCCGGAAGAAATGCACTGATACCAACCATTGCTAACAAATTTTTCGTCGGAGGGTCTTTTTCACACCTGACAGTTCTGATACGAACAAGCAATTCGATAGTAGATCGGGTGCGATTATCGAGAGAAAAATCGGCGAAAACAAAATCGATAAAATTTTTCGGCAAAAAACGGTAAAAAAAATCGGTAGAAATTCATCAGTATTCGGTATTTCGGTAGGTCCGTTGCCATTTCGGTAGAAATACCGAAATTTCGGTAGCTTCGACAACGCTGGATTGCGTGCTCAAAATGGTCAGCTATAAAGCGGCTTATAACATCGATAACGGACTTCTAACGTAGTAAATCAGAAACTCCGAGTTGTGACGTAGTAAATCAGAAATTCCGAGCTGTGACGTCAGAACTGGAACTATGAACTAATAACTCGGAAGACAGATTGCACGACCAGGCTTCCGTACTACACACTCGATAAACTCTGAGCGTTGGGCTTATGACCACGTATGACGTCACGATATCCATGCTCATACCGTTCTGCTCCGTGGAGTGCAAAGCCGAACTCATATATTTCATGAAAAATGAAATATTTCCGAGAAATTAGAATAATTCATAATTTCTCTTCAAATTTAGCAGAACCAGAAGAAAATATTTCCGAAATATTTCCTCTAGGTATATTATTCTCGGACATTTAGTTAGTTCACTAAGAACCGGGCGATGTTCGTTGCAGAGCGTTACCCGATAGAAAGTGCACTCCGAGCCGAGTTTGCCCGTCGATTCGCCCAATCTGAACGGTCAAGAACCTTGGTCTGCTGGGTCAAGAAAGACGCGAGGCCTCGTTTCATAATCCCACTATTTATCGGGACGTCTGTCTAAAATTTTTGTCGTTGGAGTTGTTATAGTTATTAACGTTATAAGGCCGATAAATAGCAAATAACAGCCGTGCTGTAATTTGTGATCCGATGCGATACTGGCGACAGCCGAGGATCATATATCAGCTAAGGCTGTTATTTGCAGTTATCGGCCGCCGGGGTTTCGTTCTAAATTTTTCGTCATACTGCAGATATCTTTGATCCTGACAAAAAACATCCTCCTATTGGGGTATGTTTGGAAAAAACGACCGGAACGTTCAGTATGACGAAAATAACTATTTCGTCATACTTCACTGTCATCTTACAAAAGCTCTGTTCCAACAGACATGAGAACCGTTTCCGGAACCAGTAATTTCCAGTGGCCCATCTATTTTTCAATAAGTTGAACGTTTATCCTAATTGAAAAATGTATTGATCGACTGGAAATTACCGTTCTAGAATGGTTCTAATGTCTGTTGGAACAGAGCTTATAACATGAGCACAAACGAAAAGGTATAGCTACAGGCCGCCGGCCATTATTTATCCACCGGCCGTTTAAATATAAATAACGGAGCGAACATATCCCTGGACTCGAAAATGTTTTTGTCAGATTATATATATTAGATATCAGTGTAACAAAAAACAGGGCCGCCGCTAGGATGTTGGCCGCCTGTGTGCCCAGACAATTTTCGCCGCCCCATTCTCTCTAAAGTAAAAAATTGAGGGCGTTGGAATGGAATACAGTTTTTAGACTTTAAGATACTTAGCGTATGAGTCGTGTCAAAGATTCGTGGTAAAGATGAGGGAAGGACCACACAAAAGGGAGACGCGCATCTGTAGTGACGTCACAAGGGTATCGGCGCTTGACAATAATAGGCAATCCTCTTTGTGACAATGCTTTGTCGGCTGTCATTGTCATTGGCTGTCTTCCTCTTTCTCTCTACGTTACATTTTTCTCCTCACTGGTGTAACGAAATTTGCCAAAACGTGACGCGTCTTTCATATCACTTTCATATCAGACCGCCCGCCGCCGGCGGATGTAATACAAATTTGTGAAGAAATACTTTCGGCTTATTTTCGATATTAAAGCTTGATGGTTTATTTGTTTGAGAGATGTATTTTCGATAAAAGTCGATGGCTACCTTTGAAGTGAATTTTTTTTTAGGCGGCGGTATATTTTGGTGGAGAGTGATTTGAAGGACGCGTCACTTAACGTCACGTTTTGGGAAATTTCGTTACAAGAAAGATATAACGTAGAGAGACGGAAAAAAACAGCTAATGATAATGAAGGCCGACGAACTGACAATCGTTCGTCGGCCTTCAACTAACCCAAACCAAGGATTTAAAAATAAGGAGGATTGCCTATTAGTGTCAAGCGCCGATACCCTTGTGACGTCACTACAAATACGCGTCTTCCTTTTGTGTGGTCCTTCGTCTTTACCCCGACTCATACGCTGTCTAAAAGTTGTACGAAGGGGGGGAGGGTGGTTTTTTAATAAGTTTCACTTTTATCACTAGTGGAGTAAACATTTTTCAAATTTTTTTTTTAAGGTCTAACCACATGAAACCTATACAGGATGATCGGTTATGCTCTTGTGCATCTAAAATGGCTAATTACGATGCCGTTTTATTTGAAGAAGATTTACTAAATTCTTTAAATTTTGGAACCTTTCGAGCACCAACTTTCAAATCCGCTGAAATCTCCACGTCCGTCAGTGCCGTCGGCGTCGCCGACAAGCAGGTACATCGCGCGCTCTGGATATTCATAACTTTAATCAAGGATAACTGGAAAACTATTTGTTCCAGATGGTTGATTTTTTTTTTAAACTTTTTTGATACTTTGTCGTCATATCATACGCAGATACTATGACAAAATTCGTTCAAATAAAAAAGTTTCTCGCTTACCGAAAAACATGCTGCACTTAAAGTACGATTTGTAGTTCAATCCAGTTTCCAAAAAAAAATTGAGTCACTATGGGATTTAAACTAGCACAGTTATCACCGCTCATATGTCCTCTACGGATTAAAAAAAAAATTATGTCGATAGGTTTATTAGTTCCGGAGTTATCGCGTGGTGGGTTTAAAAAAACACGAAAATAACATTTTGACATATTTGTCACATTTTTGAGATAAAAAATGTCTGCCCTCGCGAAAAAAGTCGTAATTAGCCATTTTAGATGCACAAGAGCATAACCGATCATCCTGTATAGGTTTCATGTGGTCAGACCTTAAAAAAAAAAAAATCGAGAAGGTATAGCGACTTTTTCTCGTGTTTTCACTCCACTACACGTGTGTATCAGGATCGTCGTGGGCGACATTTTTTTTTTTGGGTCTTTTTACGGTATTTTTGAGACTTTATTTTAATTTTGAAGAATTATTTACAAAATTTAAAGTTCTTAAGGGGGGCAACTGTCCCCTTGCCTTCCCCCTGGCTACGCCAGTGTGGCTGATTATCCGTGCTTGAATTTATCGTTCGTTTATTTAAAACGTATGCTCGGTGCAGGCTCATTCGCGTTTGTTTATTAAAATTTCGAGCGCTTTTATAAAGTCCATTCCAAAATAATTCGTTGACTCTTCAAGTATCAATAAAATGTTGATGATACCCTCAACCACAAACTTCGACTACCTGTGAGCAGGTCCGGGTTGATTTTATTTATTATACCTGCCTAGGTGAGATGTACATGTAAGGCCCAGTTGTACAATCTTGGTTCAAATCAGAGCTCAGCTAAACTCGACTGGTACTTGAACTTCCCCATTTAAAATACATTGCTGTCAGCTATTAATCAAATTCTATCAATTTTGACAGCAATGCATTTCAAATGGGGAAGTTCAAGTATGAATGTTTTAGTTAAATTATTTAGTCTTTGTGCAGAACTAGAGCTGTTATATTGACAAAAAAAATGTGGCGTCCATGGGCAAATGATGGTAGTATTGCAACCGGAAGTGGTATTTCAAAAAAAAAACATTTATCGCTAGATGCCAAGGAAATTGTGAGGAACGTTTATTTAACCCTTCTGCAGAGAGGCTATAATCATAATCAAAGTGTGAGTGAATCATCCGTTTTAACCAAAACTCCATTATCTACGGTTAAAGATATCGTAGCCAAACGCATCCAGCCAAGGAAGCAACGGTGTGACAGCGGCAAGTCAAGAAAGGTTGAAGAAGCGGATAAAGAGTTGATTCGTAGGAAAATTTATGATTTGTACAGTAAACAAATAATACCTACAATAGATGTAGGAGAGGAAACACCTCTCCTACACTTAGTACTGCTGTAATAGATTTAATTAGAAAATGTGTAGATAATATTCCAGTTCAAAGCTGGAAAAGTTCTGTCAATCACGTTATAAAAGTTGAAGAAACCTATAATTCAATAGGTATTAATGTTAAGCCATTAATAATTAGTTTAGGCATAGATGAAGATGACAGTGACAGTGAAACGGAACTAAATATAGATTAGGTTTGGTTGAATTGTGTATTGTATTATATTGTATTAGATATTAAGTTTTGGTAATTATTAAGATAGTATAAGATTATAACATAAATAAATAATATTATGAAACGCCTTTTTCGTTTTCATTATAATGGGCACAAAATCCGTACCTGTAAACCTTTGAGTGGGTATTAAGGAACCCGGTACCTACATAAAGGAACCTGGTACCTACACAATAGAGGCTAATAGCTATCTAATTTATGGTAGGGTTTTATAGCCGTGAAGTCAACGAAATATTTTGGAATGGACTTTACCAAGGATCTTAGACACTACACAGGATAGCCTAGCCTTATAAGGCCTGTGTAGTTCAAATCTCTAGCCTCTCACCCATAGACCTCTCCCACCACGCCAAAGTAATAGTGATGTGATGACGTATTCAGCGTGTCGTTTCTCGCCTTGTTGTAAGGTGTTTGCACCACAGATTATGATTCCGTGGGCCTTTGCTTTATGCATACCTAATTGGTTTTAATGTTTTTACTACATTTTAACATTCTAAACAACTCTTTTTCAGATCTCGTTTGCATCTTTCTCTTTCTATTATGTTATCAAAACTAAATAATATTTTTCATCATTAATTTAAATTCTAAACTACGACCGCTCGCCTGACGACTATTGAGAAACCGGCCCTAAGTAGTGTGTATTATCCTTGCTTTGATATAGCGTTTAACCAAGGATGATACACACCACAACTACAGGATAGCCTATACCTGTGTATAACAAGGCTGAAGCCCCCCACCAAGCCAAATCACCAGTTGTGACGTAGGCAGCATGTCCTCTCTCGACTTGACGTAGGCTGTTTGCACTACAGTTTATAATTCCGCGGGTTTTTGCCTTACTTATTACTTTGGGTTCAACTACATCAATTAACATTCTAAAAACAAATCTTTTTTTAGATCTCGTTTTTATCTTCCTCTTTGCCTACTATGATAATTAAATTATGATAATTAAAATTAAATAATTTTTCATAATAAATTTAAATTCTAAACTACGACCAGTACGACCTCTAGTGCAAACAGCTGACGACTTGTTAATGACGTCGGAAATGGTGACACACCAATATGGCGGCGATTACCAAAAACGAGGCCGATATGCTTATTTATCCTCCTCCTCCTTAGTAATGTGTATTATCCTTGGCGTTTAACTGCTCTCTGCGCTCGCTCGTCACGTGATTACGGCTCCGCTTCAGCAACCACAGTCAACGGTGCTGTTCCGACCGATGACCGACCGGCTAACCAAGAAAACGGAACCCACCCTGAGCTGTCAAAGTCGTCGTTAATGACTTATGTCATATAATTGATAGATGAATGGGAGTAGAGAGAGAAGCGAAAAGTTTTTTCTTTTCCAGATTTTCCTATCCTTTTTTCAAGAACCCAAGAAACTTGTGTTAAATAGTTTTTCGAATATTTTTGATAGCCCGGAGATTCAGAAACGAAAAGATGCAAGTGCCACCAGTATTTATTGACATCGCTTTGGAAGATCAGGTAAAATGTTCTTCAATAATTTCAGTAGAACTGTAAAAAATAATAGCCGTATGTCCACCTTTTATAGGTTAGAAAACTTTTGCAATTTCCTTGAATTTCCACATTATTTCCAGTCTTCTACGGAATTCTTAAATTTTTACATTTAATGAAAACGAATGCTGTTAGTAAGCCTTTGGTTCAAATTATTTTGGACATAGTTTGGAAAATAGAGGTCACAACAACAGGAAAGTAAATTACTGCCACTCACCAGCAACTTCTCCAGAAGCAATATTGTATTGTGGGCTGTCTTTTGTTTTAAATCTCTTAAGCCACACTTGGCTATTCCTGCATTTCACCTATTATCCATAGAGATTATCGTTTACTTTTCTTGCATTGCATTGTGAAGTCCGCCGATTTTAATGTGATACTCCAAAGGAATGTGAGCTGGTGGCATCTTACACTAAAACGCCAATGGTCACCTGACATTACACTTGTTTTTGTCATATGCTTCACCCCTTCGCTCCTCATATGGAAAGTGTCAGATTAAAAACAACAAACAATAGATGTACATTTACTTGAAGAGTGGCTTCTTTATGCTGGGCACAGGCGTGCAGTATTTGACGGCAAGTAGCAACTTGTGTCCTTGTGTGAATGGGTGCTCCGGCAAACATCTGCAATTCAGTGTTTTTCCATGTGTCAAAAGACAAATATTTTTCATTCCCACACTGTGCAATGGCATCTACGATTTTACAGTCTGCAAATAAATAAATAAATAGTGTGTATATCTAAACTCTAATAAACATCTTAAGAAATATAATTCTGCAAGTGGGTGTTATCTTATAACACAGGCAGAACCCAGATAGTCAGCTGCAACCAATCTTTATCAAACAGTAAAGAAATAAACCTGGGAGTGCCACAGGGATCTGTTTTCGGCCCTATTTTCTTCCTGACCTATATTAATGATCTCACCTTTATCAACATCATTGGAAAGTTTTATGTCTTTGCTGATGATAGCACTACATTGTGGACAGGTAAAAGGGGCGAGCGTGAGGATGTGATTGAGAGTAATCTAAAAAGGGTTAAGAAATGGTGTGATGCGAACCAGTTGTCTTTTAACATAAAAAAAACTATATTATCTTTTTTAGATTTTCCATAAATTCAATACCCCTGAGTGACCAGCTTATTGAGTCCCATCAGAGTGTGAAGTTTCTTGGACTGGTGCTTGATAAACTCAATTCAATTTTCAATTCAAAAAAGCTTTATTGTCGGTAAATTATAAAAATTCATTGACAAAGCAATCTTATAATATAATAACTAAATATAAACAATATGTCTGCTACATAGTTAATTTTGAAAGACCTAAATTAAACACACAAATCATTTTTATATGTCACGATTAAATATGTAAAGAGACGGAAATACTTAATACACAAAAGAAGAAACAAACAGTTATAAAGTACTTACATAAAAAAGTATATCTACTAATAAACCAGTTATTATCAATAGAAGAACATCGGCAACATCGGTAACCCCCTAGGTAATGACGATTTCAATATAAAAACAAATAAATCACTAAAATATATATTAGGGCTTAGTAACTATTGCAATAAAATAGAAAAAATAAAAAGTTTAAAAAGTTAAAAAGGTCAAAGCTGAAAGCAGCAGAGTAATATAATACTAAAAAACTAAAAAAATGTCTCAAAAAATAAACAAAACAGAACAAAATCAATAAAAAAAACAACCAAAAACAATTAGGTTTTTGAAAAGTACCTACCCACAATTAAAAACACATGGTAAATAGCCACACTAAATTTGGCCGTAATATTCTTGAAGGCTGTAAAATGTTTTTGTTATCAGGAAACTTTTCACACCAGTACGAAATGCTCTGTACTCTCTAATATTCCTTGTTTCCTGAGGAAGATTATTGAATATTTTTATACCTTCATATATAATTGAGTGCTTGGTCAGGCTTAGCTTTGGGATTGGCAATGGCAAATTGTAGTTTCTCAAGTTGTAAAGTTCTGGTCTAGAATATTCTTGAAATTTTTTGAATATTAAACTGGCCACTTCCAAGATGAAAATACAGGGAACAGTCAGTATCTGCTCCTGCTTGAAAAGAGGCCTACAGCTTTCCCGACGATTTACCCTACACAAATAACGCAGAGCTCGTTTCTGACAGATAAACACTGATTCAACAGCTGCCTGTGTTGAAAAACCCCAGAATGCTATGCCATATCTGATGTGAGACTCTATAAGTGCATGATACGCTATTTTGGCTGTGTGCTTTCCCAGTTCATGAAGAATACTTTTCACTATATAACAGCCCTGTGAGAGTTTTTTATTAAGGGTATCAATATGAGTGTCAAATTTGAGTCTCGAATCTATGTGCATACCAAGAAATTTTACAACAGTTCTATCTTCTACCAGCTTCTGGTCAAGTGTGATTTCATTAAGAGTGCATTTGAATGATAGTATATTTGTTTTAGATATGTTGAAAACCAAGCGATTTATGTCACACCACCCCTTGATTTTTTCCAAGTCTTTTTCAATAATCGTGTTAAGAATTGTCACGTCTTTGTGTTGCCAAAGTATGGTTGTATCGTCTGCAAAAATTACAAAAGCTCCCAGAATTGACAGTGCTGCCAGGTCGTTAATGTAAATTAAAAAGAGAACCGGCCCAAGAACTGACCCTTGAGGAACCCCATGGGTTGAATTTAGCGGCTTTGAATTATCCTTACCATGAATTCTTATTAGCTGGGATCTATCCGAAAGGTATGCTCTAAACCAGCTCAACTCCGTTCCCCTGACTCCGTAGTGGCTCATTTTCCGCAGCAGTATTTCGTGATTAACACAGTCAAAAGCTTTTGAAAAGTCACAAAACACTGCCTCAGCTTTCTCACCATCATTGAGAGCAAAAAAGAGTCTCCAGAAACGTAAATATGGCATCATTGCACCCCTTTGATTCCTGAAATCCGAACTGATCCGGTGTCAGAACATTATGGGCCTTTAAGTAACTCACCAGTCTCACTTTCACTATCTTTTCTATAATTTTCGATAGCGTAGTCAGTAAAGATATTGGACGGTACGCTGACGGATCTTCATTGTCTCCCCCTTTAAAAATAGGAATAACTACTGCCAGTTTAAGACTGTCCGGAAAGATTCCCGAGACAAACGATTCATTTATACAGTCAGCGAGTGCAGTGAGTGCTTCATCAGGTAGATGTTTGAAGATTTTCGAAGTTATTTCATTTTCTCCTGAGGAGTTTTGTTTTTTAATGGTTTTTATAACCTTTTTAATTTCATCCCTGTTTGTCGGGTTAAACCTGAATGTCTCAGTAGAAGGGTACTCTGATAAGTAACTTAGTGGATCCTTCTTTCGCTCAATGCCATCTGTCAGCTTGCTCGCTATAGTGCAGTAAAACTGATTAAGATCTGTCGGATTTATTATCAGATTGTTGCAATTCCGTTGTGTTTTTTCCCTCATTTCGCCTATTATTTTCCAATACTCCCTGCTAGAATTACCCGCTGCTTCTACCCTTTCATTGTAATAATATTTTTTTGCTAGTCGTATTAGACTTCTATAAATTTTGCGATATGCAGTAAAGTATGAATCAAACCAGTCAGAGTTTATAATTTTTTTTATTGTGTACAAAGAGCGAAGATTTTTACGTGATACTTTAATACCTCTTGTCACCCACACCTTTCTTTTCTTTTTTTTAATTTTTCGCTTTGGAAAGCTTCGGCTAAAAATATTTCGAACTGTTTTTTGAAATGTAGTAATTGGATTTGCCGAATCTTTAATGTTGCCCCAGTTAATAATGAATAACAAATTATATCTAAACATCAATAAGTGTAAATCAATGACCATCTCAAATCTCAATCATGAGTTGAATTTTAATTACCAACTCCAATCTAGTTCTCTTTTGAAAGTTGACTCAATCCGGGATCTGGGGGTGGTGATCGACAAAAAGCTCACATTCAATGATCATATTGATCAAATTGTGAATTCATCATTGAAAACCCTGGGGTTTATTATTAGATCAACAGGAGAGTTTAGGCACATCGACAGTCTCATCATGTTGTACAACTCTTTGGTCAAGTCTAAATTGCAGTATGCTTCTCTGGTGTGGTTTCCTTATCATCAAGTACATGTGGACAGGCTTGAATATGTTCAACGGCGATTCCTAAAGTATCTAAGTTTCAAAGGGGATGGAATTTACCCTCCAAGAGGATTTGACCACCAGTTGCTACTCAGCAAGTTCAACTTCCTCTCACTTCAACAGAGTACAATTTTAGCAAGTCAACTCTTTCTTTTTAAATTATGTAACAACCTGGTGGACTCTCCAGATCTTCTAAACAGCCTTAATTTTTCTTTACCAGTAGTCAACACACGTTCCCACCATAAATTCCATTTGGAAAATCGCCCCACATATCTTGCCAGAAATGAGCCAATCTATCGAGCCTGCTCATACTTCAATCACCTGCAGAACAGTATCGATGTAGACTTATTTGTAGGTTCAGTAAACTCCTTTAAAAAAAACATCCTGCCAGTGGTTCGCAATCTGTGATGATGTATTTGCTGTGATAATTGTCCTGGCGGAAGTATGGGAGGGTGACTTTCTATCTCTATTTTTATTTCCTATTTTAACTGAGTAAACAATGCTAGTTTTTCTTATTATTTTTATTTTTATTTTTGTTTCTATTTTTATTTTTATTTATACTTATTTCTATCTATATTTTTATTTTTATTTTTATTTTTATTTTTATTTTTACTTTTATTTTTATTTTTATTTTTATTTTTATTTTTATTTTTATTTTTATTTTTATTTTTATTTTTATTTTTATTTTTATTTTTATTTTTATTTTTTGTTATTAGTTATTTTTGTTTTTAGTTTCATAGTTGTTTTTATTTTTGTTTAAGGCTTCTTATTAGCTTTCTGGATCTTATGTGTGATATAATCTTAGCTTTTAAATTTTCATATTTTTGTTCGCTCTTAATTGCACTAATTGTCTCATTATTG